CACAACAGTTACAAAGTTGTCCAAGCTACTTTGCAGTTTTGGTTTTTCTGTATCCATGTTTTTATGTTTTAAGTGAATAAACTGAGAGATGGCAGGTCATGTGTTTATTTGGTATGGATATGACAAAAAGTTGGATTATTCTCTGTATTTCTGGACTAGAGGGTAGTTCCACAAGACAGTGATCCTTGCTAAAAAAGAAAAACTCCTGGCCTCACTAAAATCCCCCCAAATCTTCCCAAAAGAACACATAATACACAAAATAACATATAAGACCTTCAGGACTTTCATTATTCCACAGTATTCCCACTGCATATCATGAAAAAAAATCCCTTTAAAACATGTTAGTGGCAGAATCATGATTCCAGGTTCTTTTTTAATTTTGTTTTTCAAATAGATGATTATTACAAAAATACCAATTAGTTTGTACCCAAACTGAGTTGAAATTTAGAATGGAACAATACAAATAAATAAAATAAAACCAAAGTACAACCTTTGAAATTGTCTATTCAAAGTCCAGAAATAATTCTGACACAAAAATGTATAGGATCACAATAAATTGCGGATGAGAAATGTCTTAACCATCTAAGAAGTTTGGAGAATTTTGGCCAGGCAGAGTCATGGACTTCTATTTTAGAAGACTGCCAGCTGAAATAAAAGGTTTTAAAAAGTTTTACCATAAAGGTGTGCATAATATATGACGCCTTGTCTGTTATTAGTTTGCTTCTTAATTGGAATTTATGAGATATATTTGTCACTCTGAAAAACCAAAACACCTGGAAAAAGTTAACCATAATTTCAGTCTTTTTTTAAGGTAATATATTTTGCTTAATTTTAAAAACAGCTTTGACGTTTTTTTTCTTAGAAGTTGGTGCTTAAACCTGTGCTTAGTTCGATCTGTGAGGATAAAACTTTGCTGAGGGTTGTGATCAGGGTCCAGACTAATTACTGATAATAGCACATCCCAACAATGTGTGGATGTATGTCTCTCTACATTTTCTGAGCTATTTTGCGATAAAACACTAATGGAACAGATTCACATAAAGATTTAATTGAGTACCTTGTATTAAATTTATTTAGAGAGACATAAACCGTCAGTGACGAACTGTTTATTAGTTCAACTATAACAGTTTACATGCTTGACATATTGGGTTTTGAAGTTGGTTAGTAACAATACTCCAGCTTTTAAATGAAAAGTTTGACAAATGAAAGAGATTAATATTTGTTGGTTTTCTTGGATATAAAACCTCTTGCCAATTTGCATCACAAGCTGAATCTATCTATATGATTAGATTGATGTGATGACATATTTCTGTTTATGAATTTAATCCTTTTCTCTTATGCCTTGAGATGATATGTGTTGGACATTGCTGTTATATACGTAAGTAAACTCAATTAACCTCACCTGGGGTGAACACCTCATCAGGTTTAAAACATAAAAGCTCAAGGACGGCTGCCTTTTACTGTTGCTTTTTGTACAAACCCAGTCGGCATGGGCAGATGGCCGCTCATACTGAGCCTGGTTCTGCTGGAGGTTTGTTCCTGTTAAAAGGGAGTTTTTCCTCTCCACTGTCGCTACAAGCATGCTTAGTGTGAGGGACTGGATTCGAGTCAATGAGTCGATGCAATCAACTGGTTTTTCTTAGACAGAAAACTTTAAATCAATTTGACTGTATGATCTGGTGAAGTGTAAAGTGCATTGAGATGACATGTGTTGTGAATTGAAATTGAAAAGGACATGTTAACAGCTTAAGGATCAGATTAAACAGTGGGTAGCACAAAAAAATTATTTCTCTATATGTGTGTATGGACCAAACAGTAAAGGAATATACCCACAAATCTGTTTTTCGGGATCACTACTGATTGATTTAAAGAAAGAGACCAGAAATGTGCATAATTGACTTATTGCAGCAGATGCAGTTCTTTATGCACATAATGATTATATTGAATATGCGAGGTTGGGGACCTTCATCATTTCTAAGTTGGAATGCCAACATTGGGCTTAGCGGAAATTCAGACTTTATGTCAAATTTGATGAAATAGAAATAGCAATAATTACTGCAAGTTTTTAACCAAATGTGGTTGCACTCAATTTTGAGTTTAAGGAGGTGAGCAACTTTAAATGTCAAGGTTTTATTGCTAATTTCAAATGCAACTTATTACTTCTGATTGGAATCCAGAAACTCCTCAAATGACATCTTATCTTAATCAGACATCATCTGCATAAAACATAAAATATCTGCCAATGTTCATTAAAAGAAATGAACATTGATAAAGTAGATAGACAGTATAAATAAGTTAACGCTTTAGGAGACCCATAAAGCCATGAGAGTCTTTTATGCTTATATGAAAAGGCCTTCTCTAAAAATAATAGATGTAGTGGTGCGATTTGTGAACCTTAAAATAAACGCAGTGAAAGAGTTATGCAACAATGATCTGAAAGGTGAAAATAACTAAGACACATTATAGCTACTCTCACTCCTAAGTAATGTTTGAATACCTTGAGAGTGTCTTGGTAAAAATATCTCTAAAGTTAGCAAAAGGCAGTTTGAGTCTCAATGGCTAGAGAGCCGTTTTCTGTGATACAGTATGTGATGCAGTTCCAGACCCCAACTCTGCAGCGGGCCCCTCAAGAAGGGACGTTTTACTCCAGAACACTGCAGAGCTCCACCTGTCATTAACCTTAAATAAAAGTACTTACTTTTGTTGCTTGGTATTTTCCATCACCCTCATCTCTGTGGTGTTTAGGGTACAAACTTAAGCAGCAACCCATTGTTGTCAGGATCCAATGGCAGATAAAACACCTAAACTGTTTACACTCAAAGCACAAAAGGATGTGGGAAAGAGGTGATGAGTTACCACTCAAAACATTGTTCAGGTTAGTGACCTACAAAACATGCTTACTAACAAGTCTGTTGAACTTTTTTCAGTAGATCCAATGGATACAAAGAAACACAACCAGACTTTGCTTTATCAAGAAGGCCTTTCCTGCCTGGATGTGCAGGATGTGAATTCTGCTCTCACTAAATACTGAAAAGTCCAGCATTAGCACCCAGTTTTTCAGATCATAACAGGTTATAACATAACAATGTTCTTCCCATTTGAAACACATATTGCCTACACTGAAATGTGTTGCACGCTTCCAGCCTATCATAGCGCTTCATCATGCTAGGAAAATCACAGATCATGACCAATACGTTCTAGCATTGTTTGAACGGTTGCTACGGGCCATTTTGATCCCACTCTATACTAATGGAAGTCTGCTTGGGATTAATTTGGAGTCTGTATGCTCCCTTAGAAGAGAAGAAAAACCCCAGACATCACGTATGCCTGGGCCCTCAATGGTACCAGTGTAGTTCTTACTGGTTTCTCTGTTCCTGAGAATCAGGAGTCATCAAAAAAGTTAGCATGTAATTCCTTGCTTGTATTTCTTGAAGAACTTTGGTCTCTACTTGATGTTTTTTTGTTGATAGATAGATTTATTAGCTCTTCTCTAAGTCCAAAGGCTTTTTCTTTTTGCCTTCAGATGCTCCCACACCCATCTGCTACAAATTTTGATAAATCTCTGCAATGGTTATGTTAAGGGCCCAACAATTTGAACAAAAATACTGCGATTGCGATTTTGCACTAAGTGCAAGCATCTATATATTTAAATCCAGGGTTGCATTTCGTTATGACCTTTAAAGCTTCTCTGGAATCTTTCTATGCAGGACTTTACTGTAACCTTACAGGGAAAAATGTCTTGATTCTACTATCAAGTAGGATTTGCATGCTAGCTGTATATTCTGTTCCTTTTTGTGTGGCACCTTAATTACTGCCACTTAAAGGGCTGCAGTAAAAAATTTGATATCTCAGTCTTGTTAAATGTGACAAAATTGTTTGCTTCTGAGATTTTAAAATGGCATTTTTCTAAATTGCGATTATATTGCAAATGCAATTAATTGCCAGCCCTAGTAAGGATACATCTCTGAAGCTGAGCCTCTCAGGTGGAGGTTCTTGTTGATATTCCTACTACCAGCATTTTCCTCCTCGTAAGATCACTTTGATGTAAAGCAGTGATGGCTGCAGCATTTTTTTTTTGCAGGTAACCATTGCAAACATGAGTAGACTTTGATTACAATATTATCTCAATCTCATTGCAATCAGTATGCTAATCAAAAGTTTTTTCTAAGGGACTCTTTCACAGATATGACAGCGCTACTAAAGCATTTTGTATTAAATGCAGGCATTATTTTTTTTTTTTAGAAAGCTGATATCAGTATATGGCATTTTGCATCCTCTTCAAGTTTATTTCTTTAAAAAATATTTGGAAGTGTACACTGCTATTGAGAAAATTACCATTTTAACAAAAACAAAGCAAACAACTGAGTGCTTTCAATGGAGAGCTTAAGGCAACTGCACAGAGAAATGAATCCGTAACTTAAAAGAACAATTTTATTATACATCCCTATTAAACAGATGGGGAAAAAACTAACATTAAAAATAATAATACAAAATACATCAGAGGTAAGACATTGTATTTTTTAATATCGGTATTGCATCATTAAGGTCTATCTTTAATAAAATACTCTTATTTACACAACTCAGAAAGTTTAGCATCTTGGTTGAATGAGGAAACAGCACCATCTAGTGGTCACAGAAATAAATACCAGAAGGCAGCTTAAACACCACCAAACGTTAAACATAGGGGCATACAGGAGTTTCAAATTAAGTCAGAATATAACTTTAAAGTTTCCTTATTTCAGTTTTTAAATTCTACAAGTTAAATTCCAACACCATAATGATATATTAAATGTGCTTTATTCCAGGGAAATGAATTTTTGTTAACTTTGATAGTACAGCTTACAGAAAGTTACAATACCAAGTTAAATTCATCAGAGCAAGAGAATACTGCATAAGAAACATAAAAATAACTTCAAACCATATCTTTCTTATTATGGTCAAGTTAATGTACTCCTAGAAACACAGCCCTTTTCAGAAGAAAGTGCGGTTTGTGTCTTTTCGAAATCAAGCTTCCAGGAAGGAAGAGAGGAAGTTACTTTTCCACTGTCAGTAATGATTTGTGGAGCCGTGTCATCTGCTGGTGTTAGTCCACTGGGTTTTATCAAGTCCAGTCGTAGCAGCTGTCTGCTGGGAAACTTTACAGCACTTCGTTTTTCCCTCTGCAGCAAAGCTTTATTTTAAATGTACCTGCAGCTTTCAGAGGGATGATAATACTGGTGGCAAAAGGGTTTATTACTATTTTTAATACTTAAATGTGAGAATCAGAATCAGGGTTTGGGTTTCAGTAGCACGGAGCTGTAATCATCCAAACCAACAGAAATATTTAGAACTCTCTTAGCACCGAAACATAGCTTTTTATTATGTTCTAGTGCACTAAGTTGTACCTTTATTAGCCCTGTTTTTTATAAGTGATTTTAACACTATGATTTTCAGCATCAGTATGTATTTAAACTTGTTCTGAGAGGAGAGAAAAACAAAGTTTGTATGTTTACACAGAGGATAATATCAGGAATCCATTCCTGATATTAAAAATCCATTCATTTTCTAATGAAAGAGGACAAATAGTTTTAAAAGCTAAAGGTTTTCCACAGAACATCTTATAACGATCAGAGAACACTGACAAGTTTCTATAAAAAATTTGATAATGAACACTTTGCATTCAGGAAGTAAAAAAAAAAAGGTTTTAAGAAAACAAATTGAGTCATGGAGTGTCTGAGATGTTCCTGGACAGACCTCCTAAAGGGTTTTATTTGGATCTTCTCAGACTTGAGCACAGTTGACCAGTTTTCGGGCCAGTGCATTTGATTTTTTTAATGATTACATGAATACTTTTAATAATTCATTTGTTCATTTTGCCTTATAGCTGATCTTGAACATCGCTAATCACTGCTGCATTACCTGATGATCATCTCCATCTGAATCATTTGTTTCTCGCCAGATTTTCAGCTTCAACGGTGCAAACTGATAGCTGTTATTGATGTCAGTGAGCGTCCTCGATGATCTGAGTAAAGTGTTCTCCTGTGTAGAGGCCATAGTGCAGGCTATCTTTCTGTGCAGCGGCCCAGGCCATTTGCAGGCTGGAGAAGCGAGCGGCCCAGTTTCCCTGTGGATCCACAGTCACAACGCCTCCCAGGCCCCCGACTCTGGACTTCATGTGTGCCAGGCCCAAATCACTGGCAGCCTCAGCTGACTGACCTGAGCAGAGAGGGATCAGAACATGCCGTAAAACACTGGAGTACAGTCAGTCTGAGGCCCTGCTCTGTGCTACTTTTCAATTAATAGTTTGTTCTAATTAAGAAAAGGCTGTCAGAGCTTAACACACACGGTGAGCCAGTCTATGCTGTTGTTTCAGTGTAACAGCAAGGCTTACACGAAGATGATACAAAGTCACAAAAAGCTTCTAGTCATTTAAATATATATTATTTTAGGATGAAACTTAATTGGTTATGAAATAGTTTTCACAAAATAAAAGTTGAGATAAATCCACCTTAATCCATGGTGCAGAAGGTGTTTAAAGAGAGTTTAACTTGTCGATTAGAAGTCCAACAAAATGTATTTTGGAGCAACTTCAGCTCAGCAGCTTGGATGACCAAGTTATCTTAACATTTCACCACTTTTTATAAAGTCTGAAACATGAGATTGATGATGAAGATCAATTTTGGATCAGAAATAAAAAAAAAAATGATCTGTTTGGCTATAATAAAGGAGGATGTTTGGAGGAGACCGTTTGAGGCTTTCAGACCTGTAAACATTCTTCAAACTAGTGTTAAGCAAGTTAGCGATAGCATCATGCTGTGGGCTGTTTTGTTGCCAGTGACTCTGATGCATAAAATGGATAGAAAAATGAAAAAGTTCTTAAAGTTTGGCTCAAACAACTAGTAGTTCCTGACCGATAATTATAACAGACCCAGAATAGAAATGGTTTTAAACGGATAAAACTATCTGAAATTAATTTTTAGAAACTGACTTCTCAAAGCTTTAAAGACAAACACTGATTAAACATCCAGACAGTACAAGAGAAGCTTGTATACATTAGGATGCATATATTTGAGCCTGTGCAAACCTGTGCATATGATTTTTGACTTAATAAACTGGTGCTTATGACAACAAAAAGTGTCTGTGATGATTTATGTTAAAAAGGTGTTTAAAACCAAGACAATATACAGTGAATGAGGCCAGTAATCTGAATAAATGCAACAGACCTCTGTGTTAGTGTGCATGCAGGTGTTACCTTGCTCCATATGGAACAGGATGTGTCTCGCCAGCGTAACCTTCATGATGGCTTCTCCGTGGCCTGTAGTCGACACTGCTCCTGACATATTGTCGGCATAGCCTCCACTCCCTGACCCAGACATCACAACAAATATGGAGGAATGCATGAGACTCATATTTACTCATAATCAATTAACAGCTTCATCCATGCAGCTCCAGATTTCCAAAGCAATTTAGGTAATTCTTGTTTCAGTCGCCCTACCTAAACGCCGAACACGTGCTGTGACTAGGGCCTCATCATCCAATGGGGGCCACTTTTTTTTATTTTTTTTTATTATTATTAGTAGTAGTACTGTAGTAGATGTACGGTTAGAGGAAGAAGCAGTAGCTGTTGTAGTAGTTTGCATTAACTGCTTATGTATATTTTTGAGGCTAGTATTTATATTCATTTTATGACGTAGTTCACCATTAAGACCTAAACATAAATCTGTTTTATTCTTAATATTATTCTTATTCTTTATTCTTAATATTTATTCTAACATGTTGTGGTCATTTCTTACCACATCATGTTCAACATATATTTCAGCTTGCAGTTTTTCATTTCATAATAATTCTTTCAGGCTGAAGTTTTTTAATTTATGTATTTCAGTTCCTTATTTAATTGTTTTAAGTCAATGTTTTTAACGTATTAATTTATTTCCGTCAAAGTTTTTTTTATTCAATATTTATATATTTATTTCAGGTTTTAAAAAAGTATTTATTTTTTATTTCAGTTTGTTCTTTTTCTGTTTGGGGGCCTCCAAATAGCATTTGGCTTTGGGCCCCAATTTGGTCAGTGGTGGCACTGCTTCTGAGAGATCATTATTTTATTTTAAATCATATTCAAACATAAACCTATCTCTCATGTTATAGAATTTAGAATATCTAAATTAGTTTTCCATTAAAGACCAATCAGCTCAACTGTGACTGTGTGCTTTGTCTGCTAACTAATCTTATATGACAACAGTTCACATCTACTGGTTAAAGTTTAACAGACTCTTGAGAAAACAGAGCACTCAGCTATAGAATCTTCAGAGTGGCTCCCTTACTGTCCAACAGAATAAGTATTTTTTTGTCCATATTGTCCTAACTAAAAGAAAATATGCCCTTTTTATATTCTGAGAGTCCACATATTGGGTTGGATTGTATTTATGCTTTAAGATCACGTACAGATAACCCTTAAGTATAAAAATCTGTGATGATTTATTGAAAAATGATAAAGTCAAAATGGAAACAATAGGATTTAAGGTGGAACGTAGCAGATCCAATGCATTTTAAAGCAGATCAATCAGTTTAAGCAGCTCTTTAAGATCAAGTGTTTTTGCAGTTTGATGCTCTGAAACCAACAGGTGTTTTAAAGAAGTCATCACCGAAAAATCTGACTTTTAATGGTAAAAAGTGTTTGTTGGCGTTGGGTTTTTATTCATAACTTACACTGTCCAGTGTTACTGTAGGTCACGATATGCCCTTAATGTTCCAATCTTATTTTAGTGGGAAAAAATGAACAATACATATGAACCATGGATATCTGTTTAAAGTGCACATGAGATAAATATAAATAAAACCATTAATTCTGCTCAGTGAAAGGAGGGACATTTGGGAGAACCTTTCGAACAGAATGGGGAAAACAACGATTAGTTCCCGTCTAGCTAAGTTTCGTTTTAGTCAATATTAGTAAGAAATAAAAAAAAAAGGAGCAGGCTAACAAGTCAGATTATCAGTGTTTGTGAAAACGCATTTATCATAAAAATTAAGCTTGAAGGCAATTTAAAAAAAAAGAAAAAAGAAGAGTTAAGGTTAAGGTTAAGGTCGCCCTTAACTAATGCTCCAACCTCAACCTGATTGAAAAGCTGTTGTGACACCTTAAGAAGGTTGTACAGAATAGTATATCAGCAAAACTCTCCAAGGAAGTTCTTATTTAATCGCATCAGTTTTATTTTAGATTTTAACTTTATTTTTATTTCAAAACATAACTGAGGATAATCTTTTGTTTGATTTTTTCAGCTTAGCTTAGATTGAAATATATTCATAACCAAGTTAAGAGAAGAAATATTAAATTATACTTAGACCCATGGTAGTTTCTACTTGTCGTGAGGACTCACCAATGCATGGAGTGTCACCAACCCGGCCTTCCATCTTGTTCAACATTCCACCAGTGGAAGTTGCACACGCTACGGTGCCGTTAATGTCAACCGCCACTGCTCCAACTGTTCCCATCTTGCCCCTAAACAAGAAACCAATGGATTTAAACAGCGATGATGGTTAAACTAAATAGAATTATTTAAGGCTCAAGATCAAAAAAAGAAAATTTTTTCTTTTGTTAATATTTATATTTCAAATAGAACATTTAAAAAGATCTTTTTCAGGAAACACAATCTGCTTCTGTGAGTAATTAATTCATTCTCTTTATAACAAATGTGAAGGAGAGATACCGGCTTATAGTCTTAACTTTTTGTGAACTATAAGGTCACAGTTTGGCATAGAATCGAACATGTTTTACCAAGAAGTCACTGTCACAATGATCACAATATTTACACATATGCATCACAGTGTTACATTTGGCACTCCACAGGGTTAGAATCCGGGGCCAGGTTCTTTTTCCAGCGCATTCGGGAATACTCAGTGATCAGGGACTCTTCAGGCACCTCTGGTACACCCATGGAGCGAGCAAACCGACTGGCACCTTCAGCTGTCAGGCATGCATGACTGGTCTAAAGGAGGGATCAAAGATTGCTTTTGTAAAACACAGCAATCATTCACAGTGCGTGAATGATTGTTGAACACACAGAGGTAGCTTTTAGGTCACAGTCCAAACAACGCCGTAGCTGTGCTGCTCTTTTCTTTCTCTTTTTAAAGACGAAACTGAATGTTTTTACTGTGGATTTCTAACAGTTTCATAAAAGTAGATACACAATAAACATTCAGCTAACATCACCTTCTCCATGACGAGCCTGGCCAGATGTATCGGGTTAGCTATGTTGCGGACAGCAGACACCGCTCCGCTACTCAGCGTACTCCCATCCATCACAAGGGCATCCATCTCCACCTCTCCTTTAACATTCAGCACTGAGCCACATCCTGAAAAGAATATATATATATATATATCTTTGAGAAATTATTGACTTCTGTACGGATTTGCCAACTGACAATAGTTTAATAAGGAACACTAGTTTATTTTCTATTCCTTCTTATTTTGAGCCTTTTACGTTTTAAATAATGTTTGCTGTGTGCCCAAATTTGTTTTATTTTCAATACTTTTCTATATTAATCAAACCTTTTCATTCATGCTGAAAAATATCCCAAAAGTCATCAGAGGCTCCTTGTAACTGCCAATTATTTTTTGTTTTTTTCACAGCTGCATTCTTGAAAGGAGGCTACAATCTTACATGTGCAGTAAAGAAAAATAAACTCTGCCAAACTCTGACTCTTAGTCTGCTATGAATAAATAGTGATTTCAGCTGTAACAGGCTATAAACAATGTAAACTGTCACCACACCAGCAAAAGCACTTTCGTCTTCAGGTAGAAAAGCCAAAATTTAGGGGAAACTATGTCAGGATTGATTAAGCATCCACTACAAAGCTTTTTGCTGCATCTATGTATAGAAGTAGGTGGGTAAACGGTTCCTGCATGCAAATAGTGAGTTCTAGGTTGCAATCTCATTTATACAATACCTGCATTGAATGATGGATTATTCTCCAGTACCATTACAGCCTCCACTACAGCATCCATACTACTGCCGCCTCCTTTCAGGACTTTATATGCTGACCGTGCTGCAGAGCACACTCCTGAGGTGGACCGTTCTGATCGCTCTTTGGGGATATGACCAGCCCCCCCATGGACCACCACGACAGGCAACATAACAATACCCTAAAAAAAACAAGTAGCATAGATGTGTTAGCAATATAAATCTGGAAATTATGTGACAGTGAAATAAAATAAGAGGTTTAGCAGATTGCAGTTAACCAAAGTATTCTACAGTCAAATAGGAGGTGAAGGCTTAGTTTATGCAAACACGTCAATATTAAACCACAGGAATCATGAAAATGCAAAGAAGTGAGGTGTTGTAATGGCTCAGTCAAAGTCCAAAGGTTATCTTGAATGAAGTGCTGCAGCAGGACCTTAAAGCTGCATTATACTGAGGAATGAGTCACACTTCTCCGGAATAAGATATTGATCAGGTCACAGAGAACTTCACTTCAAATTACATCAAGTGTAATGAACCATGGCAGCAGTGGGGTTAAACAGACATGCAAATTATAATATACCTTTAAAAAAACATTTATTTTAATGATTCAATTTATAAAGTGATTCATTACAAAAAGACTGACAGATTTTAGCTGTTTTTATCAGTTAATATGAATAATTATGGCTTAAATAAATCAAAATAATCTCAAAACATTTTCAGAAGATTTTAATTTTACACACCAATTAAAAATACGACAATACTTTGAAATGAATTACCTCAATAAATGCATTTTTAGATTTCATTTCACTGCACTGAGCAGCCCAATAAATATAAAACTGAAAGCTGCACTTTGCAACAGTGGATCAACCAACACCGGCCATACAAGGAGGATTCATGTTGCATTACATAGATCGAGAACACATGAGCACGGTTGAGAATTAGAACAAGTGGATTTGTATTTGTATTTCTTAAATCAATGAGATCATTTAGGCAAAACTAGACGGGTTAATGCAAACAACAATCTGCTGCTTCAGATGAAACCTGACCTGATTCAGTGGGAGCTTTCTTTCTGCAGATGCGACGTAATAACGACGTAATGACGACGTAGTAACTATAAATCGGCTGATGTTTACATGTACATGAAAACAGCATTCAATTCTGTCTAAAACAAACGGGATATTATTATTACTTCCGAATTATCGTGCCAGAATACTCCCGTGTCCTCGAAAGTAACGTTACATCCGGAACAAGACAACGACACTTTCAAAATAAAAGCTTTCTGCATCTGGTAGAGCTTTTATTTTGGCAGTTTTGTTTGTGCAGGGGGAAAAAAAACGCTACTCAGAGGTGTTGCAACGCTTCTAGATAAAGCTGTATGATTGGTACATTGCCATACTTTAATAAACAGAAGGAAATGAATAAATACATACATTGGTATTCAAAAAGAGCATCTTAAAGAGCAATATTACAAATGATGTTGTACCTTTCAAAGCAATGCACATATAAATCTCTAAAATTTTATAGACGCATATGCAGCCATTTCCATTAGACTAGAATATTTTTTCTAAGCAGGATTTCTGTAAAAATTATTGAATTTTTGAAAATAATAACCTTTATTCAAGTTTTAAATATATGTTTCATTCAGCTGTGATTAAAATTGTGATTATTCATAATATTTTACCAGTACCAGTATACTTTCCTTTAGCTGTGTTTGGAAAACTCATCATTATAAACAAAAAACAAGGCTTGCAAACGTAACTGTATATGGGATCAATTTATGTTATGAGTTTCTGAATTTACATGACTTTGTTTTTCCCTATTTACCTTAAGTAATTATAAAAAAGATTATGAATAATTTGTCCAAGAGACTAAGGTAACAGCTACTGTGCCAACACGTAGGCCTACCATTGTACAAAAATTATTTGGTATTACGCTCTCAGTAGAGGGGCCATATCAGGGGTCATGGACCATATCCACAGGGATACTGGCCCCTGTTGGCCCCTGTCTAGAACCATTTAGGGGTCTCTGTGTGCAAGAGCATTTTTTAACTCTTCATTATTTTATTAGTACTCAGCTTCACCTCAGTCTATCTCTTCTCTCGTGCCTTTCATTTGACCGAAACATGATATACAAGTATTTTTAAAGCCTAAATTACCTATCAAGGTTTCGAGAAAACATGATTTATTTCTTGGCTGTTTCTGTGGCCTATAGTCGTCATAACTATCACTTGACATTTTTCTTTTTTTCTAAATACGCTTAATTTCCATGGCTCTTAATTGTCTTGATATTCAATTATTAAAATAGTCTCCTTTGTAAAAATAATAAGGTTAAAAACTCAGCAAGGTGTATTGTACAATTTATAATACAACTTGCAGCATTGCTTGTTAAAGGACAATCATAGCAATAGTACCTTTCCCCTATAGGACTGAAATCTTCAATGTATCCCTTTTCGGTTGTAAATTTCTTCTATTTTGAGTCACTTCACACAAACTAAAGCAATTAGAACCCTAACCCATTGCGATAAGGGTTGACAAGTTGCATTTCAGAGGATTCCCCAATATAGCTGCCCAAATGAGCTGACCATGGTACTGAAATTTCTTTAGGCTGATTTCAGATGGCACTTTTGATTTGTAGTCTTAGCAATGGGTAAAGGTCTCTTAATTGCAAACTCATACAATTAATAAGGATTCAATATGACCTCAGAGGTGATTCAAAATATATTTTGTCCCTTTGAAATAAGTCACAGTCCTGGCGGGGCGGTATACCTCTTTTTAAACATTTGGTGGTGAGTTGTGACCCATTGTTTTAGGAGATGCAGTGTATAATATATCATATGTGTGTATAGGGATGTTCTGGAGAAAATTGGCTCCAGGGTATGTTTTGGTAAAGCACCTCAAACAAGAAAAAAAAAGTCTGCTGTGTTGCTGGGCATTTTAAATAACTATTGCATTTCGCAGAAATGTTTTTCTTTCTTTTTAAATATTGTTGCATTGCGACATTTTTTCAGTACGTATCACGAGAGCTTAGATTTCATAGATTTAATTTTCATTGATGTTGCAGAAGACTAAAATCAGGTTGTCGTCCGCTTTATTCTTGACCGGGTTGCGGGGGCAGGAGTCTCAGCAGAGATGCCCAGACTTTCGACACGACTCCTCCACTTCCTCTAGTAAAAGCTCGAGATGTTTCAAGGCCAGCTGAGGGACATAGTCCCTCCTTATTATAGGACTTGGTGGATCACCTCCCACGGTCCAGGGAGCATCTTAAACAGATGTCCAAGCCAGCTGACTCCTCTTGCTGGGGAGCAAAAAGGGCCAGAAACGTTTTTTTTTTTCTCTGCAAGGAAAGAGTGGATTTTAAGGATAAATGGGAAAATTAATTCAGGGAAGTCCTGGAACACATAATCTCAAATCATGTGCACAATTTTTCTTTTCCGTCGGTATACACAATATTGAATAGCATGATAAAATGATACGAAAATTGCAAAAATACGTCAGAAAGTATCGCTTTACAGTCAAATTCAACAAAATAGATAATCTGTTCTGATGAGGCTCGTTTGTCAGATGAAAGTATTGGAGGGACAATTAATTATCTATTAAACATACTTTTCGTCAAGCCGATCTACATATCTTTTCCTTTTATATGTCTGATGTATTATTTACATCTCAAATATCCTGTCTCCATGCGCAAAACCGTCACAATAAACAGAAATAAAGGCTTAAAAACATAAGTGTGTGCTTTTAGTGAAATAAAATGCTGAAAATAATTTGAACATTTCAAATATTTGATTGAACTTGACTAAACTCTCTGGCTAGAACTTTCTATTTCTGTTTAAAGTTGTTTATTAAACAACAATAGTTAACCGATTTAAAACATCAGATCTTAAATCCTGGGAAAATTGCAGCATTTCCCGTATGTTTACACGATCATTAAAGAGAATAAAGGGGATAATCATTCTAATTTATGTAACTTACATGACGTGTAATGTGTTTTGATTTCAGCCCATTGCTATCATTTCCCCTCTGTGGTCTCAAAGCCACAGCGCATCCTTCAAGAACCACGTATTTCCTGTGTGTGCGCTACATGGCACCGGGAGCGCGCATCCTGACGGTGAGTGGAGAGCACCCCATTCTCAAATGAGGGCTGCGCGCTCCCGCGGTGTGGGAAGTGAGCGCGCTTGAGGGGCTGCGGTCCCATTGACGGTTCCGTCTCCCTGACAGCAGCATCAGCATCAGCAGCAGCGGCGGCGGCGGAGCTGGAAAACAAGAAGTTACCGCCTCGCCCCACAGCCAGAGGAACCGGCCGATCGGAGAGGCGCCTCCAGGGACCTCTGCTCCCCTCTGCCCGGCCACAAGGACGGAAACCGGCTCCTCTTTCCAGTGTGCCAGCGTCCCGACTGACCGCCGGAGATATGGGCTCCCCGTAAAACGGAGGTGGTGGAGGGGAGAGGCGGGCGGGTGGGCGGTGGGAGGGGGTGGGGGGTGAAGGCAGCGGAGCAGCAAGAGGGAGGCGAGGCTGAAAACGGCAACAGGAACCGAAGCGCTAAGGCCACAGTCACCGCAGCTGAGACCAACCTGGGTGCCCCCCACCCCCGCCATGGGAACTCCGCATCAGCCGCTCCGACCGCCGCTCCATCCGTGGGCCATGTCGTGATCCGTGGGCTCCTCCAGCGGGTTTTTTATCCGTGATCCCGACCGAGGCGAAAGGAGGGAGGAGAGGGAAGGGAAGCCGGGAGTGAAGAAAGGTTGTGGTTGTGGTGGCAGGGAAGATGTTCGCCTCGGTGGGCCCTAGGGGCGGCCCGCGCGCACCGGCCGCTCCAGCTATCCCGGAGCCGGACCTCAGCCATCTGACCGAGGAGGAGAGGGGCATCATCATGGCTGTGCTGGCTCGGCAGCGGGAGGAGGAAGCCAAGGATGAGGCCATATTAAAGTAAGGGAGGGAAAGAGTAAAAAAAAAAAAACGATTGAGGAAGTGTTTGTGCATTAATATCATTCTAAAGTCTACCACATCAGATCTCTCCTTGGGATGGGATGTTTCATTAGGACTTCCACACTGAATCTCTCCAAGCTTGTGTGTGTGTGTGTGTAAAGTGTGTGTGGGTTCTGCTGAAAACTCCACAGAGAACTCACTGACTCACAGGCTCTTACAGACTACAGCTCTGCGCAGGAGGAACCATACATGGAGGAACCATACATTTGCAGCTCATGCAATCAGCCTTGTTTGCTTGGAAGCATGCAACTTGGATGCAAAACACAGATTCTGAGGGTCTGCCTCTAATCCAGATTTCTAAATAGAAGCAACATTTCTAATTTCCACTTCTTCTCATCTGTGTCCACCACACAGACACAGTATGTTCCTGAGTCAGGCAGTGAGTAATTGAGTAATACCTGAGGTATTCTCTGCTTTAGATCCTGCGGGTTGTTGCAGTGAGCTAAGTGAAGCAAGGTATAAAGAAAAACAATACAAAAAAAAAATAGTAAAAGTAGAATCTTCCCTCTGTTGGCTTTTATCTGTGCAGCATCCATCTCAACAGCTGCTGTTCTCAGCTCTGGGGTGCGGCTGAGCCATTCCCAGTCTTATGCACCGTATGTAGGCCAATGCTGTTGCAACAGACATCTCACAGGCTGTTACAAAAACAGTCGGCCTATAGCAGCAGTAGAAACAGTACCAGTGAAATTTGGATTTGAATGAGGACTCCCCTGCAAATTCACATAAAGTATCTGGATGTACAGATGATGTGCAGACCTGCAGCCAAACAGCTTTCTGCTCCAGGACCAGAAAAAAAAAAGAAAAAAGCAACTCGAAACACAGTGTTTCTGCTCGTCGTTCATACAGGCTGCATGCACAGTTGAGCAGATAGAAAGCTAGAACGACCCACCTTAGTGAGGCGCTCCTCAAGCTCTACGTTCCTGTTCTATTTTAAGCTCACTGTACGGACTGATGGCCCGGCACTGGAACGGAAGATCGATTCCTTGCATCTAAAGAAGGAAATGTCCAATACATAGCTCTCGCTCTAAGTAGCTATGCATCAACGCCACTACTATATATTTAAGAGCCACAGATGTAGTCATGCCATAGTGTAGCAGCTGCAAAAAGAAGCAGTCTCTCTGCATCGACATGTCCTAACCCATATTAGCCCCTTCACTGTTTTCTGTCACCACTTTTTAGATGGAGATCATTGTGAGAAAGCAGCATGTCTGTATGTGTGATCAGAATCGTTTCAGCATGGACAAGATGCACTGGTTGGCTCATACATGCATGCTGAACGCATTAGCTGTATGGTAGCGTGGGCTGTGATGCAGGGAGGCAGAGTTTACGCTACACTCGCTCATTTTTTATTACATAAACGTAGGGGGCTTGTTCACTATAGAGGTTTTCAGGTTGGTCACAGAATTGTAAGTTGTGTGACATAAGCTGCTATATTGTATATCATTTTTTTCTGTGTGTTGTTAGTTGTGTGTTAAGAAATCAGTCCTGGATAGCTCAGGTCCTTCAATCTGTCCGAGTCAGTGACAGACCTGGCACTTTATGGAGATGTTCTTTCCTGGATTGAGGGGGGGTCTCTGGTTCTATTAGGGGCAGCTTGCAGACTATGACAGATGCCACCTCCATCTTTCATTGTCCTGCTCTTGAAACATGGCTTCACTGTCCCTCTGCCTAAGTCAGGCCTATCAACTCACCCAAAAAGCCTTACACAACCTCTGTCTGCTTGATTAGCTCAGCCGCCTGTCCCCTTTGTGCCTCCGTCGTTGAGGTTATGGTTATACAGCTGTAACTGAAGAGTGACAGCTCTCTGATGACGCGGTCTTTAGCAGCTTCTACGTTGCAGTTGACATTGAGAGTGAGTCTTTACCCGCGACTGACATCTTAGGGCTCTTACCTTACACTCCTTAATATGAAACTTTTGGCACACCGTGTTTGGTTTGACTGTAGTTGACAGTACAGGCAGACCTCGTCATTCTAAACATCAGACACTGTCACATAATCATTGCAGGTTATATTTGGTTGAAGGATTCTAAAAATGGCCCTCCTAAAACCTGCCTTACCTGTGACATAAGAGCACAGATTGAGAGCCACGGTCAAAGGATCCTTTTTTCTTCCTGCAGCCCTTATTGTGAATGAAGGGGAATTGCATGGAGTATAACTGACATAACACTGTGTCTGACAGTAGCTCTCTTTAAATTAAGGCCTTTTTCAAGCACATTGTGAATTATCACTGATCTTGATGGAAAATTATTTAAAATTCAAAATAACTTTCTGAACTTTTAGAGAAAAAGTTTTGAGACTTGCTTATATTTGTTTTTGGCGTTTCAGAGAAAGCGTTATTGCGCTAAGCTCTCATGTAGCAAGCCTTTTCCTTGCATGAGTGATCAGCTGTTTGTGTTGTTTGTGTCTTTCAAAGTATTTCCATAACCTGCTTTCTCCATGTATCAGAGCAGCACATAATATCTATGTAGTTAACATCATAGAACAATTACAACTTTCCTGATGGGAAAGCATCCCTGAAAATCTCTCCTAAGTTTTCTCAGATATGTTATCCATGCTAGCATGCGTCTTAACTTACTCTTTATTAGTCATGCGTGTCGTCAACTTCCAAAGAAATTAGGCTTTGGATACCCTCATTAGTTCGCTACAAACAAACAAAAACATAACTACATTCTTTTTTCTTACAATTTTAAAAGTTTGCTCAAATCTCCCATGCCAATTAGATGGAAACATAGCATCTTGATAACTGTTCTGATATGACTGTCTTTGCATCTACCTATGTCTCTCCAAAGCTACTGGTTTAAAATAGTTTTTTGGGTATTGTTGTCGTGGCTCACATCCCAGGACACCATTGTGTCAAAGGGCGGAACAAGTTTTCTCTCCCTTATTAAAATTTTGAACAAGGACTGGGTGCTACCTTATGTTGGACTCAGTGAAAGCACCATAGAAAACTATATGTCTTCACTTCTTGGCAGATTAAAGAAGCTTGTATCTCCCTCAGGATTCCTGTTCTGCATTGCCTTTGGAACTTGGCTGTACCTGGGTAACTGTACTATGGAGACTCCCTCATCCCACAACCTTTTGCTCCTTTTTTCCTGCATTGGGGGTTAAATATATATCTTAAACCACAAGCCCTATGTCAGCTGATATCTTTTTGATGTCCGCCATTGCCGTTTCCTCCACTGTCTGCAATGAGAGAAATACCACACATGATGTCACATACCATGTTTTAGGTATATTGATGCTCATTTCAATGTTTATGAAAGGACTGCACTAAACGTCTTCCGTTCCCTCTGATAGTTAGCCTGACGTAGTCCTACTCAATTCTAGTCAGAATATGAGTCTGATACTGCTCCATAGAGCTGTGATTATGGGGCGTGTTTTGAACGAACCAGGAAAAAAATGCCTCTGTACTCCATTGGATAGACCTACAACCAATAAGAGCAACGGAGTGCGTGACGTATGTTAAGCGAGGCATAGTTGTTGTCCACAAAAATCAAAGCGTGCAGTTTCACGCCTAGAATAAGAAGATGAGCCTTGATCGCGTTTCTCTGTTCCTCTTTTAAAATTAATTTGCTGTCGATATCTTCTAGAACAGACCTAATAGCAGAATCTACTCACCCAAACTCTCCAGCGGCAGCCATTATTGTTGTCACCCAAGCGCGCTTTGGTCACGTGGTTGATTACGTTACTCTTGATCATCTGTCCATCATCGTATAAAGCCCGCCCTGACAATTTGATTGGATCGCCTGACAGTGGGCTTTAATACTCGCGCTACTATGGAGCAGAGCCAGACCGAACTTCCCCGAACTCAAACCTTGTGGGCGGGACTAAGTTCTGACTGGCACCCAGGCTATCTGATAGTATGTATATATGAGATCTGTGCAGCTCATTAGCGTAATTTGAAGCGATATAAATGGGCAAACTGATCAAATTATGCATGATACCCATCCCCATCTTAAATTTAATGATTTAAAATATCAGCATGTGTATAAACTCCTAACACTTTTACACATTTTGGTGGATCAATATGAATCACAAACACAGTACATTTTTTTTTACAGTTTATTCTTTGGCTTTGGAACTGTTTTATTGGTGGTTCCAGGGGTATTCCTGCAAAATTAGCAACCAGTGTAACTTACTTGTAACTTATAGTTTGTTCAAGTGTTATAAACTCCCTGTCGAAAGTAGCTCAAAGTGTTTCATAATGAGTGAGTGGGGTACCCTCAGTACTGACAATGAAAACACACGTCTTGTGTTTTAGAGAGCGTGGGTGTTGGCAGGGAAATCTCTCTTGAGTTCCCTCTGTGATCTAGACTAATCAGAGCGCGCTACTCATGTTTATTAATGAGATCGCTTTGAATCAGTGTGTGTGTCGATGGACATATTGAGATCAGGTGGTTTTTGGGCCTGTAACTGACACCTGAAAGTCTTTGAGCATTGCTATAAGATCAGATAGAGTCTGTTTAGTTTGTTTCTTCATAAAGGACTTAATATCACCTTTAGTAAATAAGCATCATGCAACATCTTGTTGGAAAAAATTAGCTAACTTTGTAATTTGTGCATGAAAATTGAAACAGGCACAATGTAAAAGGAGAACATATGTTTTCATTACTCAGAAAAGGTATTTTCTTACAGACAGAAAAAAATCCATCCCATTTAAAAGTGTAGAAGCAATATGTCTGCTGATGTGTCCGAATATGGAAAAGTGAAGAAGAATGTGAGAAGTAAACGTTGAAGAGCCGTGTTATTGTCAGCATAGAAATTACATCTAACCTAAATTTTCTCTAGATGTATTAAAAGTTTAATTGACAAGACTAAAAGTCAAACGACCATTTTAGTCAGAAAGTGTAAAAAGACTTTTTTGAAAAATTGAAAGGTAAATAAATGTCTAGAGTTACTTAGAAAAAAAGCCTCCTGTGTATCATGCAGAATGGACATCTTAATAAATGAATGTGATTAAAAACTTAAAGCTGATATTATGGCCTTATTTGCAATTGGTTGTACATAGAAGAAGAAACAATTCTAGCCACAGTTAGGAAGCAGTTCCTGTCTAAATGCGGCAGAAGGGTAACATGAAAAGTTGTGTTATCAACAGCAAAGAAAAGATGCTTCTACATGTAAAGTCGGTTTATGTTAAATGTTAATGGTCAAAAAGAAATGAAGAAGCAAGACATCATTGGCTGAAAAGAGCTCCTTCATTCAGAATGGATATCAGAGCGGAGCTACTACTCCTCCACATCGATATGGTCAGTGTCTGTGTATTGATGTATGAATGTGGCTGAAAACAGAAAGGTGAATACAGGTCTCATTAGCAACATAGAAAATAAATGGAAAATAATACCGTGTTTTAGGACTTGGAAGGAAAAGCACAAGATTTTTTTGTTGTGGTTGGAAAGATTTGGATGAAATAATTGGGCTCAGTTAATTATTATGCACTATAGATGGAAATTGATAAAAAATATGTCATGGTTTAAGTTTTTACTGAGCCTTTAATGCAAAACTGAGGATCTGTGTCCAACTTTTGTTGAGCTTCAGTTTTCTACTAAACAGTTGCCATAACTGTTTCCTATATTTGTGTTTTTCAGAGAGGAGAAGCCGATTCAAGCGAGGACAGTGAACCTGGTCGGACAGAAGAAGCCTCAACAGCAAAATGACGTCAGGTATGTGGCAGAACTTCTTTAGCTAAAGGCTTTTACGCACCTAACTGATGCTCTGCTGTAAAACTTTGCACCTCAGATGAATGGATCATGATTCCTGTGCTGTGATGGTTTGATATGAATAAATATACCCCTAGTTTTATGTTGGAGACCTAAGCTGCTGCTGACAAAGATCCTGAAAAAGCTGCTCTTCTGTTTTCCTCCTGTAAGTAATTATTTGTTAGTTGCTGTCCTTCCCCTTTTAGACAGCGTCTGCTGAACCTGTCTTGTAGAAATGGACACAGTCAGTGTGTTTAGACTAGTCCTGGTTCTGATTATTTGCAACGACAAGCTGATACCTTCCTGTAAAGATGTGGATTGAGAACTGGCCTTGTTGTTAGTTTTGCAGCAAAGAAAAAAGAAGAACCTGGTTGTGATGTTTGCTCACAACTACTGGTACTTTACATCTTCACATATAGCATTAGGTATAATTAAAAATTCTTAGAGGATCAAGTGAATGTTGGGCTGTTGGGTTATACTACATACAGTAACTCGCCAATATGAATCATTGGCACTATTTTCAGCAAAGATTTTTAACTTTTAGTGTAGATTAGAGCTGTGCTTGCCTAGGCTAGCCTTTGATTCAGCTTTTATTTATTTTACAGCAACAACAACATATCTAGTCTTGCTTTTTAACCAGTGGGGGTCTCCAAAAGGTTTTAAGATTGGGTTCAAAATCAAAAGCTGTAACAGAATTTCAGAAGTTTGTATGATGCTGTTTTTATTTTTATTTTTATGAGTAAATAAAAAGAAAACTTTTTGGTAACTTGTTCTCTCCTCACTGCATGCTATAGTGACTACTGATGTAAGGTGGCTAAAAGCAATAATCTCATACAATATATTTGTTGTTTACCTTGATGTTTTAGTTTTAAACGATCCTTTTATAAAGAGCCAAAGTTTACATATGTATCTATAAGCTGCCATTTCCATATCGAAAGATTATTTGGCGCTGTAGTATTTAAAAAAAGAAATGATATGTTTTTTGAGCCGACTCTTAAGATTGAAAATTTCCATTTAGGCAAAGGGACGTGAAGTTTTCTTGAAGAGGTACACTTCAAAAAGCCAAGTTGTTCTTAAATCAAACATTACAAAACTATAGGACCACTTTTTCAGTTTAGCAGACATAACTACTTAGGGCAGTTTTCCATATGGGCAATATGGCTCACTGCCCAGGGCACCATTCTTTGAGGGGGAATCACAAAATTTACTTAGATTTTCTTTAGGGACTAAGCTGAACTTTTCCTGTTTATCTACAATCTCTGCTAATGACGCTGTATTGCTTTGAGGTTCGCCTTCTCTAAGAGAAAGCCTCCATCTTTACTCCAATTAGTAGAGGTGGAGGCCTGCTGTTTTGGTCAGAAGCAATTATTTATTAAGGACCCACTCAGTGACTCTATCCTTTACCACTGATTGTGCACACTTATGTAAGTCCGTTTTTATATCAGTGGTCACTAATAAAAACTGGATTCTAAGGCAATGGTTTAAATAACAAAGTTTTTTTGTTCAATGATGCAGATTTGTTTGAACTCCCTTTTAGCTCATGTCTGGATTGAAATACATATTCCTTTGTGTTTTCTAAAGTGAGTCTTTTGGCCAAAATTATGATTTTTTTTATAATGTTCGATTAGACTCAGATACTTATTGCAAATTAAAATTTCTCAATAAACTAGTTTGAACTTGAAAAAAGATACAGCACATTTGAAATGCATTTTAAAATAAAACTTATTCTAAGGATGGAAATTATTTGCTCTTGATAGGGCATACAGACAATAATGCTGATCTTTATCTTTAATTCCACACATAGAGTTTTCCGACAGTTTTGACCTAATTTTTGCTGCCAGTGGGTTTTAATTTCTGCAGATTTTATGTTTTAAGAGTGTATTGAACTCAATTTAGAGTTCAATGAAATACAAGATGAGTTGATTTATCAGGGTTAAAATTCAGAGTTAATCTCATCATGTGGTTTCTATTTTATTTACTTACTAGAAGCTTTCTTGACTTTTTGTGGAATGGTTCGCTATGTTTCTGCTGGTATTCCACAAAAGCAACGTTTTAAACAGCTCACTGAGCTGCAGCCTGGAAATTAGGTTATTATGATGGTGCATGAGATTTTATGTTTATTAGTGTCCTCCACAATTACAGACAGGCCTTGTAACAAAGTGCAACAACCCTTAGAATAACTAAATCATATTTTATTATTGGTAGAATAACCTCATTCAGAACGTTAAAAAAACGAAAAATAAAATAATGATTGCTTCTATTTACTAAGGAAAATGTTCCACTTTTTTTTAATGGTTCTAGCGCACTACAGCAGTTCTTGTTGAAAATGGCAAAAAAGACCAGAGATCTTATATTTCTTCATATGCAGATGTTTGTTAATCTGCATGAGCCAGGAACGGAAATGACTGGATTGTTAGAAATGTGTAAATTTACATATTATATAGAATGGATAGACCGTGACGAAATATTTTGAGCTTTATTTGTAGTTCAAACACTTTTTAATTCCCAAAGAAGGGATCCAGGAAGAATTTCCATTGAAAGTAACTTCCAATGTACAGAAGCTTTCTTTCTCTGAATGAGTGCAGGGCTATGTTTGTTTTTCAGCCACCTTTTTTTGATTGCAGTACTGGCTGTGTAGTTTATTTATTATTTTTTTTATTGTATGCCATTGTTGATGTTTTTGTCCAACAAAACAGTTTAGATTAGAATGTTGTAAAAATTTGTAAAAAACAAAACAAAACAAAAAAAAAAAATCCTTTTTTGTTTTTTTAAATTAGCCACTTAGATAGGGGTGTTCCACTCTAAATATATAGGACTAAATTTAAAATGTTGACATAAGCAGGCTGATAGAAACATAAAACGTATAGTGGAGGATTTTCGCAAATTTTTGAAAAGACCCTCCCTTTCCACTTTTGAAAAAAATACACATGTACAACATGTTCTCCTTGTGCATGCTCTGTTTAAAAGTTTTTGTTTGCATCGCTCATACAAGCTTACTTTCCAAAAGAAGATTTGCATTTTTTCCACTATGTCAGATTCACCACCGGTACGTAAAAATGGGGACGAACACGTACGACGGCCTTACGCAAACATATCACCAGAATGATTGACAATTAGGAGGACCACTTACTTTGATGATCCACACAGTAAAAAGAACATCCTCCACTATACCTTTAAGTCTTTTAAAATGTTTCACACTACAAAACAAGGAATACAAGTATGTATGAGACATGTTGATAATATATCGGGCCAATATAATGTTATTGGTTAGGACCTAAACTGCAATATTGGTATTGAATTGAAAATGAAAAACTTTAATCGGGACAACACTACCATTTGATACGTGAACACAAGGGCAGGGAAAGATATAGTTGTAATCAATAACTGGAAAAAACTTGAAATGCTTTAAAAAAAAAAGCATAGTACAACAACAGTAATTAACTCTCGCTATGCTTGTTGCCAAAATATGATTATTGAAACAACAAACATGAGAGTTGGTTCTAATCACCAAAGGAAGGAAGAACAATCCCCAAAGATCATGTGACCCTTTTTTCTTTACTTTAGTCAAACCGTTTACTTTTTTTAAGGTAAGAAAAATGTCCAATTTGTTTTGGATGATACTGTTTAAAATTAACCTTAAATTAAGAGAAAGTTATTTGAACCAGTTTTTATCTTTTATTTTTTTTTTTACCTAAATCTAATTTGTTAGCCAACTGTACAGCTGCTATGACGTCTCCAGACAGGACATTGGAACTGACCTTTCTTGGGGGACTTGTACTGGTCTTGGGTGAAGAAAATCGACACATCTTAGTCACAGACTTTTTAGGCTCTTAACTTCACACAGGCGTTACAGAGCATTATTTGCAAAAACGAGTCACCTCAAAAGCAGTCTATTTAATGAGCACAATGAACACCAGACAGCCAGAGTAGTCATCTACTCTGCTGGGAACAAGTAAGCATATTTGCACTATCACACACCCACACACATAAAAAATAGGCCTCTACGCAAACATCTACGTACTCCTGCTTATCCTTTTATTTCCTTTATAGTCTTTTACTCATTTAACCAACGATCAAGCGTAAGGGATGAAACTAAAATCAAATTCCTTATTTGGGCACCAGACCTGGCCCCTAAATTTGATTCTGATTCTGAGAAGTTGCTGGTATGATTTGTTGAATAAAACTGGTTACAAATATGACTAAGAAATCATTTAGGAAAAATGTTTTGTAAAATGTTTTTTTTGGTTGGATTTATCTTTGATTTATATTAAGATACTAACAATTACAACAAAATAAACAATGATACAAATTCAGTATACTATTTACCAAAGCTAAAGTTTAGATATGACTAAAAGAGTTTGTGTATTAATTACACTTAAATGGAAAAATGGAAGTGATCTCGTATTTTGAACTTTTCTAAATATTACTGTAATATGTGTGGCATTGTTGCAAAAACCTAGTCTGTTTTAGAGGTAGAAATCCATCTGGATTTAATACAACCAGTTACATATTTTGCAACCCAGTTATATGTAATTTCTCTATACTTTTCACATTGTTACAGAATCAGGAGCAAATCAGATGTTTATCTCCTTCACTATATGTTGCATCTCTCTGCGTATTGCTCGAGGTCTGCTAATGATTCACAGACAAGCTTCATAATGTGTAAGAGATAATGTGGGCAGCAAAAACCTGGATGCTAATGGCCATTTCCTGCCAAGCATTTGTCCAGCTGATCGGCACAGTACAGACAGAAGCAGACCTCTTTTTATCTGGTGACTAAGCTGTTGGCAGCCTGAGAGTCCAAAAGAGAACACGGCTTGTTTTAAACTTCACCCCTGTGTACTTTTAAGACTTAATCTCTGTGGATTTTCAACTTTTAATAAGACCAAACTTTCTACAACATTGTCAGAGTGTAGGAGAACATGTGCTACTTTAGCTGCAGATTATCTCCATAGCTTTGAAAG